ATCCAATGAAGAGCAGAATCCTATCTTAGAATTTGAATGAGGAAAGACCATAGAGCCAGTAACTTGAGGACGGAAATCCACAGTGGAAAGCTGCTGAGAACCTCTGGTGGATGGAGAACTATCATCCGCCACCATAAAAGTAAGCAAAACCCACAAAAAATAGAAATTTAAAAATCACATTCTCACTAGAAAAATCAGGACACTCTCTCACTAGAAAAATCCAGCTAATCCTTATTTAATATATTGATGAATGAATATTTTTTTATTCCATACTTGTTATTTTTGTTTCCTCAATGTAATAAAATTAGCTTTTTTATTTATTTATTATATATTTTATTTGTCTAATTAATGAGAAGTACTTAAATGTGATAATATTAATGAGTGATTGATTGATCTTAATAATAATTGAATAAGCAATAAATTTTTCTAAATATGACTAAAATTGATATCCATTAATAATCACAGTTTTTGAAATTAAAGGGGTATGTGATTTACTTGGATGATCTTTTTAGCGACCAACTTTTATCTTGGTCTCTTTTAAAAAATGTGGTTAATAAAATTACTAATTAAAATAATTATATATCATCCAAATAATTAATCATTAGCATCAAAACAAATGGTTGCTAAAATGTATAATTTTAGCTACCACTGCTAATTAGTGGTCATGAATTTAGCAGCCAAAAAAAGTTTTGGCCGCTACTGCGACAAACCAACGACCCAAAATTTTTTGGTTGCTACTCGCTTTAGCGACCAAATTAACTTGATTAGTGACCAATTTCGATGGTCGCTATTGGTTGCTAATATAGTTTTCTCTTGTAGTGTGTACTCACTTGTACATCTTATATTATTGCCTATGAATACTCATAGTTTCCTTATGGAGGCTTATAAATGGACTGTTGTGTTTCATAATCTTGCACTCATGATTGCAAGTCAATTATCTCATTCACTACATGTCCCTCGTATACACTCATGAGAATTCATATTCACTACAAGTTCTTGGCCCTCGCTTGTAAATTAGTTAATTGAATAAGACAGGTCACTTTAATTTCATCATTTTTTGGTCAAATTGTGCATTGAGCATTTTGCCAGTCATTTACCCCTTTTTTATTCGTTGATATTCAATTAGATGACCAAAATTATTATTCATCGTTTGTATTTTCATTTTGATCGTGCCTTTTATTGATTAAAAGTTTAATTCCCTATTCATTATTTTAGGTTCAGTTCGCCATCATTTGACTTAAGTTTGTTGTTCATTTATGTATAAGTTCCTTGTTATTTGATTCAAGTCTAGGTCTTCTATTAAGTTCAAATTTCAGTAGCCTCTCAGTATCTCCCCCTTATAGGGGAATTTTTTAGAGCTAATCCTTCCCTAGCATGCTATGAGAGTGCATAGGATAGGTGTCGGGTGATATCACGGCTATGATTTTTAAGCCCACCGCACTACGAGAGCGTGCATGGGTCTTTGAGGTACATGTTCGGAAATACATAGTTTTCCTCGCAAGTATAGAAGCATGCCAACGGGTACTTAGAATTATCACAGCCACACCACGAGAATGCATAAAGGCCTACGTGCCTCGCCGCAAATGTCGCACCGGGTTCCCTCCCACCACATTACAAGAGCATGTAGGGTGGCTGTAGTCAGACAGCTTGGAGGAAATGAACAGGGAGTTTGTTTAGAGGAGTCGAAGGCTGCGGCCTTGACGTTGAGTTAAACAGGAAAGATCAGGTGAAGTTTTAAATGAGAGGAGAAGACGAGTGTCGAATGGTTTAAGCTTGAAGTGGGAATCGAGAAATTGGAAGATCTGAAGTAGATGAAGGAACAAGGAAGCTTTGAATCCCAAGAGCTCTTATGTGCGTATCAAAACATACAAGGTCTTATAAGTGTTTGATTATCTTTATAAGCAAAACGAGGATTAAGATGAACAAAACTCACACTATCTAAACGTTTATTAGTAGTAGTTTTCATCGGGATTTCAGCTTATAGTAATTAAAACTCTAACTCATACTAAAGATTTTTCTAGTCTACTGCATTTAAAACTTATCTCATACCTCCGAGTAATAACTTCTTCATCTATTTCTTATATATTTACAAAATAAATCCTTCCTCACCAGAAATCCATGGAACGTATAAAATAGCATGCTCAAGATCAAGTGGTGGCCTTTGAATGTCAGTAGACTTAGCACCTTCTCTTTAATGTCATAGCTCATGATATTACTTCTGAAGAAAGTGAGCTCTAGCCACATGTTGACCTTTTTCCAAAAACTTCTTCTCTACATGTTTCTAGCCCATATCATTTAAGAAATCTTTCGACTTATTGTTGTTTACCATCATAACTTCAACATACAAAGCAAAAGTAAAAAATCCCTATTATTTGTCAAGATATGCATGCAACTCTTAAAAACTTCACTTGCCTTCGCCTTTAACTCAAGAAAATTACCAAATGAACTTTTCATACATGCATGCATTTGTGTGCATGCTTGCAATATCCAACAATTCTTTAGTTAGGATGTCTCAAAGCTCCTCGAAACTCGGCCAATGTATTATGAAGAAAAAATATAAAATTGAAGAACTCAAGTTTTTGCCAAAAAAAAAAGAAAACAAAAAACTGCTCTCATTGTTCAACTTTACTTGTAGATGCACCATTTATATATCAGAGCATATATAAAAATCACATTTATACTAAAATAAAAAATTCATTTAAGCAAAAATATAAATTGTATAAAGCTCACATAATGTGATAAATTTGGACAATTGAATGGACATTGCTATTATACAACTAACATAATGTGATATATTTTTTCCAGTAATAACATCTAATAAAAAAATTTCATTAAACTATCATACAACAACTAGAGGATTTTATGCTACAAAGAATAATTTTGATAGCAAAAGCGATATATTTACATGATATATTAAAATATAATTAATATTCACAAATTAAAGATTAAACTCTAAATAAATTTAAACTTAATATAGCAAAGTTCATCTTCTAATTATGCTGATTAATAAATAAATGCAAATTATATAACTAATTTTTAATTTTTTCCCTAATCATCAAAATTATTATTTTATTTAAAACAAGATAAATCCAAACAAAAAGTAAGATTATTTACTTATAAAATACTCTATACTTACCTCACTTAATTTTCATAAATCTATTCTAAAATTATAAAATGTAGTAAGTTAATATTACATTTTAATTATATTACACTAAATTAATGCTTTTAAGTATTATCATTCAGAATAATTAGGTTAAATAATGTAGAATTTTATTTAATTTTTAATAGTACCTATTATTAAAATTTGTCCTTTTTAATTAAAATAATATAAAAGCTTTGAATAAATATATAATTACATTATTCAAATTCTTTGAAATATAAAAAAATTTAATAATTTATTTTTAACAAAAATAGTTGCGTTGTAACTAACTTTCAATTCATTAAAAGATATTTTTCCTTAATTTACAAATTGTTAAAAGTTAGTTTTTTACTATAATTTAATTATATAAATTAATTTATTCATAATAATATTATATTTTATTTCATGTGCTAGTAAATCTCATTTATTATTATGTCATTAATATTTATACATAGTTGGCCAAATTTTATAGAGAAGCATGATAATAATCAAAATTAATAAAAGAAGCAAAGATTATTAAAAATTTAAAAAGGAGCT